CTTGCAATGAACATAGCGTACTGTAGAGAGTTGTTGAATCACTATGTTGCACCCCTGAAACTAATATAACATTGTTTGTCAACTATACTCAATACTCCCACAGGTAAAGTGTGATTAGCTCTTACTCTATAGATAAGAAAAACAATGGTCGGATTACTTGATCTGCCAAAGGCAGGTGTAACAGCAGGGGCTGGACTGCAAATCTCTCTGAAGCCTGTGCTGTTCTCACCGTATCATGCTACCAATCTGGCAGGACAGGGCAGTGGCACTTGATGTGACAAGAGTAACACATGTCGGCAAGTAACAAAATCTTCAACTGTTTGTTGAACCTGACAGAGTTAAGGAACAACATATTTTCCAGAAGGAACCAACTCACAGAAAGAGAGTAGTCCTTGTACTAAGGTGGGAAATGCCACTGTTGAACACTTACTATGAACTGAGATCATCTTACATTATTCAGAGTCTCTCCTGTGGCCACAACAGCCCTTCAAAGTCAGTATTAAGTACACTTTTAGATTAAAAATAAAAATGGGGCCTGAGAAAGTAATTTTTTTTTTTAAAGATTTTATTTCAAAGAGAGAGAGAGAACGCATGCACACAAGCAGGAGTGGGGTGGAGGTGGTAGAAAATCCTCAAGCAGGCTCCTCAATGAGTGCGGATCCCGATGTGGGGCCCTACTCCAGGACCCTGAGATCATGACCTGAGCTGAAATCAAGAACCGGCCACCAAACTGACTGAGCCACCCATGCACCCCAAGTTACGTAAATTTTCAAAGTGACACAGCTTTTAATTGCTGGGATCTGATTCGCCTTGCTCTTTCTTATACCAAGTTGCCTCTCGTCTCTGGAGCAGAAAAGTATTTTTTTATCCCTTCATTAGGACATGTCAATATTAAAAAACATCCCTTCCATTCAAACAATCCCTGACAGTTTTAAATACTGCTTTAAAATACATGACTGCATTTTATCCTACTAATGACCCTATGGGTAGAGAAGACAGTTTTCTCCACAGCACAAAGAATATCAGACTCAGTAAGTGTGAGACTTGTGGGTAAGGCTGAGCCTGGACACAAACCCAGGTAGTCTGATTTTCATGATTCCGAAAACAAAGCCGTATTACTTCAGTTCCCATTTTGCATACAGAGAGCCAGAGAAACTACAAATCACGGGGGGCAGTGGGGACACATGACACGGCAGATCCACCTATGACTAAGAAAAAGTCATTCAATTCCTGTGGACTTCAGACATCGCGTATACTAATTTTCCTTCTGAATCTAATGCAAATTTCCTTTAGCATTTAGCCACTATTTCACTTTCTTTGGCCTCTATTTCAAGGCCCCTGTTTAAATATTTGAATCGTTACCAACTGAGACATTGTAGGAATAGAATAAATTGTTTTAAAATTCCCTAATTAGCCAAACTGTGGAAAGAGCCAAGATGTCCATCAACAGATGAATGAATAAAGAAGATGTGGTGTGTGTATATATATATATATATACACACACACACACACACACACATACATACACACACACACACAATGGAATATTATGCAGCCATCAAAAGGAATGAAATCTTGCCATTTGCAGAGATGGAACTGGAGGGTATTTTGCTGAGTGAAATAAGTCAATCAGAGAAAGACATGTATCATATGACCTCACTGATATGAGGAATTCTTAATCTCAGGAAACAAACTGAGGGTTGCTGGAGTGGTGGGGGGTGGGAGGGATGGGGTGGCTGGGTGATAGACATTGGGGAGGGTATGTGCTATGGTGAGCACTGTGAATTATGTAAGACTGTTGAATCACAGACCCGTACCTCTGAAACAAATAATACATTATATGTTAAAAAAAAGAAGAAGAAGAAGATAGCAGGAGGGGAAGAATGAAGGGGGGGAAATTGGAGGGGGAGACGAACCATGAGAGACGATGGACTCTGAAAAACAAACTGAGGGTTCTAGAGGGGAGGGGGGTGGGGGGATGGGTTAGCCTGGTGATGGGTATTAAAGAGGGCACGTACTGCATGGAACACTGCGTGTTATACGCAAACAGTGAATCATGGAACACTACATCAAAAACTAATGATGTAATGTATGGTGATTAACATAATAATAAAAAAATGAATAAATAAAATAAAATTCCCTAATTATTGATACACAAGACTACTTAGATGAATCTCAAGGACATTATGCTGAGTGTGGGGAAAAAAGCCAAATTCAAAAGGTTACATAATGGATGTTTCCATTTCTATAATATTCTCAAAATTGCAAAATTATAGAAATGGAAACTTGATTAGTGTTTTCCAAAGAGTGGGTGAGATGTAGTGGGAAGACCAGGTAGCAATGGATAGGACTTTAAAGGAGTAGCATGAGGATAAGTGAAATAAAAGAAAAATACCAGGGCGCCTGGGTGGCTCAGATGGTTAAGCGTCTGCCTTCGGCTCAGGTCATGATCCCAGGGTCCCGGGATCGAGTCCCACATCGGGCTCCCTGCTCCTTGGGAGCCTGCTTCTCCCTCTGCCTCTCTCTGTCTCTCTCTGTCTCTTATGAATAAATAAATAAAATCTTAAAAAAAAAAGAAAAATACCATAGGATTTCACTCATATGTGTAATTTAAGAAACAAAACAAACCAAAAAAAAAGAGAGAGAGAGACAAACCAAAAAATAGACTCTTAAGTATAGAGAACTGGTGGTTCCAGTACACTTATTGGGAGGAACACGGAGTACTGTATAGAATTGTTGAATCATTATGTACACCCAAAACTAACAACGCTATGTTAATTACACTTGAATTAAAATAAAATTTTTAAAGGGGGGGTAGCAGAAGGAATTTTTCAGGTGATGAAGGACTTTTCTATCTTGGTTGTGATAGTGGCAACAGAATCTACATGTGATAAAACTGAATCAAACTAGACACAAAAAGGAGTGCATGTGACTGGCAACTCTGAACAAGCTCCGTGGATTGTAACCAATACCAGTTTCCTGGGTTGGATATTGTACTACATAGTTTGTAAAGTGTTCCTATTGAGCAAAATTGGGTTAAGGGTACACAGAGCCTCTATTATTTTTTATAATTTCCTGTGAATCTATAATTATTTTAAAACTTAAAAAATATTTTAAATCTCCTGATCTTAGTAGAGGACATTGTTGGGTTACCAGTGAGTATGGTCTCCACAGCCACGCCTTATGCAAATCTACCCCCACCATCCCCAAAAGCTTGCTACCCCCCAGGAAAAGTGGAGGGGCTCTCAGGGCTGCTGTTGAACTTTATTGTACGGAAATGTTTTTAAAAAGAGAAGCAACATGATTAGATTTGGGACATGCTCAAATTCCTCAATTAGTAGGACATACAGGCTCATTGCAAACTGAATCCTGCTTACTTTTCCAACGCCATTATATGTCCTGCCCCTCTCCTGCCAAAAAGTATTGTCATGCTTGGGTTCTGATTATACTCTTCCTTCTTTCTGGAATGCCCTTCTTCGTGGTTGAATCCCAGAGGGACTCAGCTGTCAGTGCCCAGCAGCCCAGCAGTACTGCCAGCAGCCAGGGATAGGAGTATCTCAAGAGATGTCTGGCCTCCCTTTACAGATTCCCTCTACAATGTTTTCTGAGACAGCCCAGCTCTGCTCTCAACAGACCCTGCAACTAAGCAGCAGCATATGGCAAGTTAAAAGCTTGACTCACCAACAAACCCACTGGAGATTGCTCACAGCCTCTCACCCCAGACAGGATTCCCAAGAGTTTGTCGTGGCCAAGTCCTAAATCCACTCACCATTTTTTTTACACTTATCCTTCCATGAGTCCTGAAGCAAAGCCTAACCTAAATTATCCCCAGAAGGGAAGCATGTTGGTTTTTCTCCCCCATTTCAGGTGTTCACTACCTACGAAGATTTCTGAATCCATGAGCGCATAGCATGACAAAAGGTAGCACAAAGACTAGGATGTTGAAATAATAAATCAGCTAGACTTTGCCCACACAGGTACCTCTGGAAGGCTGAGAACAAACAATTTGCATCACACAACCCCAGGATTTCAGGGGCATACATCTGAAAGGAGAAAATACAGTAGAGCTGCAACTTAACCCAATGTATAAGGGTAGGGGGTGGGGAGAGAAAGCCGAGAAAGCCCAGTAGCATTATCAGAACCCAAGACTATAAAGCTGGTCCAGTCATACTAGTTTATACTGAGGATTTCTGATCATTCTTGGTTCTTCTTTCCACTCCAATCTTTCCACCCTGATGACTAATGCCAATGACAAGTAATAGTGCTCTTGAAGGAGGTGCGGTCCAAACAAAATCATTTGTAAAAATTAGGGAACAGATGCATCAGCATAAAGAGATAGACATGTATTTGTGAGATCGATTCTTGACCGACAGAGTACACATTTTTATCTACCCCTGAGCCGATTTTTAACTAAGAGGGACATTCTGATTAACCTTATCTCCAAAATCTCATCATAACTTGCACCAAGCTAACTGAATCACCAAGCAATGCATATGGAAAAAATAAAGAACTGCTAATCCTTTTTAAATAATTCAGCAGCATATTAGTCTTGGTGAACTTTTGGGGGCTGTGTTAACGTCAGCTTTGCGTTGGTTCTCTGGGACCATGGCATGTTCGGGACACATTTCTCACCTCGGGCCCAAAAGCACAGGTTCCAGTTCATAGTGACGACGTAATAATAAAATCCTAAACGCACCTCCTCCCTCAGACACATGGAATCTACAGCTACATATGGAACAGTTTTCTCGGGGGGGGGGGACCTAGCTGAGGGACTCCTACACGTGCAGGAAATGAGAAGAAACCCACATGCAAGTGGGTAGAAGTGAGACACAATCCGCCACAAACCGGTTCCACCTGCGCAAGGCCACTCACAAGCCGGAGGAAATTCAGAACGCGAAGCTTTTCCCTGGAGCAAAGGGCTTGAAGCCAACTTGGGGAACCTCAAATTTTAAGACCTGTGCCTGAGAGACAAGCCCCAAACATCTTGCTTTGGAAAGGCAATGGCGCTCACATCCATGAGACCCACACGACCACAGTGCAAAGAGAGAAAGGGCTCGCGCACTTGGACTCACCGGCCCCGGGATCCCGCACAGAGGCAGCCGCCTGGACTTGCTGTTACAGGAGGCGTATTTTCTTGTCTTAAGGTGATGGTGGCCTGCGGGGCACATCTAAACCTAATATAGTCTATCTGCACGGATCAAAACACACCTAGATGCCGGCTGAAATACTCCACGGACAGCCGCTGGTGGGCACCATTTTTCTGCCTTTCCTCTGTCTCACGCCAACCTGCAATATCGCGGGAAAACAGCGGGTATCTGCTTGCGGCACCCGGGTTTCTGCGGCTGCGCCAAGGGAGCCCCTCTAGATCACCTGGCACAGGTGGCCAACAGGGCTTCCGTCGGTGGGCTTTGCAGGACTGGAACCAATGGAGAAAAATTCTTTAACCGGCTACTAACCCCAGGGCACAGCAAGAGGACCCTAGTCTTTCAATGAAAGAACTACAGCTGTGCACGGTCTGAAAAGTTTAAGTCTGGAAATTAAGTTGGAACACAAATAATCTGAAGCCTTTGGAATTGGCCACACGTGAGCGATCTGTGGGAGTAGGGCCCTGTTCTGAAGAACAAGATTCTGATTTCTCCATTTCTTCTCAAGCACTTCTCCCGCCAGGTAAGTAATACCCCAGAATTTTGCCCACAATACTGAATAGAAAAGATATAGCTGTTGAAGCAGAGGATTCAACTCAGTAGATTGAATGGTTCCTTCCTTCCAGCCACCCAGTGCTATTTCAGCCAGTCACAGAAAGTGAAAGATACCAAAAGAGAAATCAAAGCAATGTAGATGCCTAGAAGTTAACTGGCCAATTTGATGATCCAAGTTAAGATGTGCATTAATATAGTCTGTCTACACAGATCAACGTACTAGTTACTGCAGAATCTACTTAGAAATATAAAACCATAGCGGTGCCTGGGTGGCTCAGTCAGTTAAGCGCTGGACTTTGGTTTCAGCTCGGGTCATGATCTCATGGGTGGTGAGATCGAGCCCCACATCAGGCTCTGCACTCAGCACAGAGTCCGCTTGAAGATTCTCTCCCCTGCCTCTCCCCCCACTTGTACCTTGTGCACTCTCTCTCTCTCAGATAAACAAATCTTTAAAAAAGAAAAAACAAAAGCTTAGAACTCTTAGTGATTTTTTTAATTCAGTGAAGTTATATTTTGAGTTCTGAATGCCTTAACTTTATCATCCATTGACCTTTACCACATGTACATAGAATTCAGCCTCTACCTAATTGTGAAATATTAAATCTACCTATTATTGAGTATCTGATTAACCACTTTAAATTGAATATTCCTAAAGAAAGTATTTTCAAATCTTTGCAAAACAATTTCCTCTAATTAATGGCTCAGGCGTATGTCCCTTGGGAATGGGTTCAACATAAAATGAATCATGTTTTTTACAAAAGCAGCCCTCTATTCACTGTCTTCACAAAGAATTGGCAGGTTATATAGGTTCAACTGATAAACTATTAAAGATTTGTACCCTCAAATTTACCTGATGGAGAATGTTAATAAGAATTAAAGTCTTTTTTGGCAGAATTGATCTATCTTCAGCTCTGTTTAAACACCTTCCTTAGAAAGGGCTGTTCCAGTTGATAAGCAAAGACTTGGTGCTAGAGATTTGCAAAAACCTTGAACTAGAGGGTGGTAACCCATCTAAGGCAGCATGAAAAGAAGCAGAAACATGCACACAAGCCAAAATCTATTGAAATAGCTGAAAGTTAGATGCCAAAAAGCAATTTAAAAAGTAAAGAAAAATCCACAGCGCCAGAAGTGAGAGATTTGAGGGAAGGAGTCAAAAGTTTGAGGTTAGAAGGGGCTTACATCAGACAAAGATTATGTCAAGAACAAGCAAGGAAGATCCAAAGTGCTAACTGAAAACACCGTTCAAGCTTTCACGGTTGGGCAGATAGGAAGGACATAACCAGCTGGCTTAACATATCAGAAGTAGGCAGCAGAATCCTTAGATCACACAGATGGAAGCAGTGTATGGGTCAATCATCTCAAAATAGGTCATGGACACTAAATGATTCCTCCAAGCCTTTGTCAAATCACCTCTGTGAAAAATAGATCACACAAGAATGGGCTCTCCTGGCACTGTCAGTTCAGAACCTACCCAATGTTTTAAAAAATTTTAAAGGCAGTGTTCTAAACCCTCTACTTTAAAATTTGTGCTTAGGGTAAAAATGCAAGTCAGATTCCTTAACTTTCTTAACCCTTCCACTTGTGCATCTCCATATAAAGTACATGGATCTCATTCAATGAATAACACAGAATATTAGTACTTAAAAAAGAAACACTGATCTTCACTTCATATTTTATTCTATCCATCTAATGTCCAAACTCTAAGACTACTGCTATTCCAGAAAAATAGGCTGAGACTTGCTAAATATTCATTCCCCTCAATCCTCTAAGCCCTATCCCTGAATCACATCAAATAACCAGAAAACCCACATGTAAGGATTATTATCTTAGCTGCCTATAGAAATGCCTTTAGAAACCAGTTTAACATGTCTTCTTATTGAGGGGATCAAAAAAATTGCCATCTCTTGCAAAATTGCTATTGAAAAAAAACTGTCTAGTATATTGTGTACTGTATACTACTATATACTATATAAAGCAGATCAAAAGCAAATCAGTGCAATTACATCCTCTGATAAACAGAACTTGCCTATTATACTTTGTTAGAAATGACAGCATTGAGATTTTCCACCATGACATCCAGCAAACTCAAAACTAACATTTTTGCACCTTCTCCATTATTTATCTTGTATTTTTCTACTCTTGTCTTATTTGAGGCCCTCTCAAGTCATTTTTATAAAGAGGAAATATATAGATTGATAGATATTGTAATTAAACACCAGAGTGCTAAATGTGGAATGATAATTATGGCCTCACTATTGATTTGGGTTTTTTTATGAGTGTTGGACTCGTGGTTAGATCCATCTATTAATTTCTGATATTTAGGAAAATTCTATGCTATGCATCTACCAACTTCCATTTCATTTTCCTCTTCCTGACATCCAGGAAGAATACACTTCTCGCCCAAACTACAGTTAAGTTTGCACTGTAACCATGGATTATGGCCTGTGAAATTTAGGTGGAACAAGCGTATGTCACTCTAGGCATGACACTTAGAACATTCTGTATGCACTCTTTTCCCCTGCTTTAGCAACCCTAGAAGCCACAGTGAGAAAGCAACATGATAAAAAGGTGTAGCCTTCATCAGCCTGGGTCCCTGAATGACTATGTGGAGTAGAGGCATTATTAGTAAATTCATTGGTAAATTCATTAATTAGTTGTTTTTTGTAACTAATTGGAAAATTAATTGGTACCAATTGGTAATTAGTGGGTACAAATTGGTAACTGCTAATTAATTGGTAAATACCCTAATGAGCAAATTTTTTCTTGGACTGAGCCATTGAGATTTCAGCATTAATTCTGTTATCACATAGCCTCTTCTAACTAGTCACTGTGAAAAATATGATTCACAGAACCCTTCATAAAAATTCCCACCCTTTACTCTTGACTTGGATTGCAGACTCTAATACCTTTCTACTTTATTATCCCAATGAGCTGGACTAGAAAACATGCAGAATTATATGGCTTCCTCTTGACATGGGTTTGTTTTTTTAATTATAGTAAAATACATATAACATAAAATTTATCACCTTAACCATTTTTAAGTATACAGTTCAATAGTGTGAAGTACATTCACATTGTTGTGCAACCATCACATCATCACCATCCATCTCTAGAGCTCTTTTCCCCTTGCCTCTGTACTTATTAAATAATGACTCTCCATTGCCCCCTACCTCTAGCCCTTGACAACCACCATTCTGCATTCTGTATCTATGAATCTGACTACTCTAGGTACCTCATATAAGTGGAATTTGTAGTATTTGTCCTTTTGTGATTGACTTATTTCACTTAACATATTGTCCTCAAAGGTCGTTTCTGTTGTAGCATGTGTCAGAATTTCCTTCCTATTAAGGCTAAATAATATTCATTGTATGTATATACTATATTTTGTTTGTTCATTCATTTATCAGTGGACACTTGGATTGCTTCTACCTTTTGGCTATTGTGAAAAATGCTGTGAATATAAGTGTACAAATATCTCTTTAAGACTCTACTTTCATTTTTCTTGGGTAAACACCCAGAAGTAGAGTTGCTATATCATATAATTCAGTAGGTTTTTTAAGAACTGCCATAATGTTTTTCACAGTGGCCACACCACTTTATGTATGCACCAATAATACACAAGGGTTCCAGTTTCTCCACATCTTCACCAACACTTACTTGTTCTTTTCTTTTGATAGTAGCTATCCTCATGGGTATGAAATGGTATGTCTTTGCAGTTTTTATTTGTATTTCCCTAATGATAAGTGGTGTTGAACATCTTTTCATCTGCTTATTAACCACTTGTATATCTTCTTTAGAGAAATGTCTATTCAAGCTCTTTCCTCATTTTTTAATTAAGTTCTTCCTGGGTTTGTTGTTGTTGTTGTTGTTGTTATTGTTGTTGAGTTGCCTATCTGGTCTTTTCATACTTTTCTTTTGGATCTCATTCAGAACTACTTCTACCCTGAGATGAATGCTTAGGAAAGTTTCCCCCCCACACCTGTAAGATAAACTTTCTCCTCATATGCAGCTAAAGCTGGTTATTTATTTTCACCAAATGTAGAGACTAAAGTAAATTTTATCTGAGGAAAAGAGGTGAAACTTTTTGAAAAGTTAGAGCTTTATGTGTGTGTGTGTGTCATAATAAGTTAATTTACACAAAAAGCCAACAAAGATTAGGTCAACAGTGAAGGATAAGCGAGGCAAGAGCAACCCAAGACCTGGTAGTTATGGCCCCAAGGAAAGAAGCTTAGTTCAAACAAAATAGCTGAGTGGTCCATAGCATGTTTTCCACAGGCTGGAGTTATCTGAGGTGCATTTCTAGCAAGCAATTGAATTCTTATTTGTCCAACTCAGAGAATTAAACCTGTCAGTCTAGGTCAGGGTGGAGATTGCTAGTTTACCACTGTCTTGCTCAGAGAGAATTTCTAGCTGTTTCCACTGTACTCGATACAAGTACAGGTGTGGAAACATACCTTTTCTTACCATTACTGTCATAACAGGTACCAAGGCTCCACCCTTTTCTTCTGAGACCCCACCCTGCCTTTCTCAGTGGCTTCCAAATGTCTTAGAATCTTACAAGGTAGGAGAAGGTGATAGACTGTTCACATAGGGTAAGTTGGCCAGGGACAGAGCAGTGTCCAAGCACAAAAGTGTGTTACTGCTGGGTGGTCAGTAAGCCATGTTCCAATGACTAGTAAAGAGAAGTCCTCCCTAGGCAAAAAGGAAATCTAGCATAGCCCTTGGGCATAAGTGATGCAGCATGGTCAATAGTGGGATATTGGATGATCCCCCACGCCACTGATCGACTCTGGTCACGGGAGTAAACACTCATTGCTCAGGTAGAGTCTGTGAAGTATGAGGACACTGACTCACCAGCAAATAATCCCTTTATGTAGGTTCCCCTGATTTCAACCCCAACAAACTTTCCCTGTCATCACTTCCTCTATCATCCTTGTCCCCGTCCCCCAGACCTAAAGAAGACTTTCC